CTGATGGTATAATGTAACTGTCTCTCATATTCTCGTACATCTTATTTGCATTTCCTATTAGCCCGTCGATACAAAGTTTGCTTTTCCTGGTAGAGAAGCGACATTGCATCGTCTACGGTCAGGAGCGTGCATGCAACTTTGTTATCCTCGTGGGGATAAATCGGATTTGTTACACCATGTCATGCCGTTGTGACAATGTACAGAAGCGTCATAGGCTGCAAGACTTAGGGCCAATTTCACCAACCATTGTCCGTTATTCTCCACCTATAGGGTAACAGACCGTAAAATACAACGAATGAGCTTCATGTACCAATCAACAAATTTTAGCAACCAATAGCTATGAAATGTTGAAAACAAAATACTGTCAAAGTATGAGATGACAGCTTGTCATTCATGTCTTAATTACATACTATTGTTGATTTTTCATTCATGTTTATATTATTTTCTTCAATTGATATGCAATACTGGGTGTTTTTTCCTATAAACCTCTTGCACATAGCCATTAAGCACCTATAGTCAACGCCAAACAAAGTGGCGTGCACGTCATCAAGGTGGGTGTGTTGAAAAATTTACATTGTTGCCAAACTTTTTGTAAAATAATAAAATTTATTATTTACATATCTAGGTTTATAAGCAATATTAACCTCAAATGAGAACAAAAATAATAGTATAATAAAATTATAGATCTGTACTTGCATAATCTTTAAGTATGACAATTATTGATCAGATGACACTATGAAACTACCATATTTAATTGATAGCTTAAAGGTACTGAATAAAAATCCAAATGGGGTCCTCCAAATTTTATGCATGGTATTTATTTTACAGAATTCATACAGAAAAATGCATTCTAAAATTAGGTAAGCTACTGGTGTAAGCTTTTTCTGTACAATAAAGTTAGTCGGAGTTTCTTTCTTCAGCGCTGTCTGAATCTGAATCTTCATCACTCTCAAAGTTGATTATTAAAGGTTCGATGTCTGGTCGATCAAAAATTCGTTCTCTTTCATACCATTTAAAAATTTCTTGCTCAGTATGTCGAACACTATTTTTCCACATGTCTGGGGTAACCGTTTGTAGAGCCTCGTTCCACATATCCAAACAGTCTTTTTCACTGTTACCATCTCTACCAATATGTCTGTTATAGTAACCTTTTGCTATGCCCCAAATTAACTCAATAGGGTTAAATATACGTATACAATGGTAAGGAGGCAGACGAAGAACTTTGTGCCCATGTTGTTCCGCCAATTCATCAATCACGTATATTTTAGGTGGTTTGTTTCTAAAAAAGCAGTTATTTTAAGAATAGGAATAAACAAAAGATATATAAACTGTCGACCAAAATATATATAATTAAGAAGCATTATGTACCGAGCAACAATACTCAATAGCTCTGTTTTAAACATTGTGTTTAAAAATGGTATGTTTTGATTTGTCAACCAGTCTTGGATATTTTTTTTTGTCCATGCATTGTTGGGCACTTTGTTCAATATCATGCTGTGATAAGGGGCGTTATCCAGTATAATCATAGATGGACTCTCCAATTTTTCTAATAACTGATGTTGAAACCATTTCAAAAAATTGTCCTGGTTCATCTCTCCATGGTAATCGCTCAATTTTGTTTTCGAAGAAAATATCGCTTCACTACCCTCAATAAACCCATTTTCATTTCCAGCATGTAATATAATGTATCTAAAATATATTAGTTTTAAATTTTATAGTGCAAATTGTGTAAAAGTACATACCTTTTACCATCTGTTTTAATAGCTTTCACGCTTTTTTGGTTTCCATTTTGCCAAGAGCGACCTATGGTCCCATTTTGAAATATCCAAGTTTCATCGAGGAAGACAAACTGGTATAAGGCCTCAACCTTGGCGTGATTGTATTGCCTTAGAAATTCCACCCTTTTCAAAGCTATACTTGGTAGTTCCATGAGCCCTCGTCGCGGATTGTCCTTAAGCCACTTAAATCCAAGATCTCTAAGCAACCGCCTTAAAGACGTGGCACTACCATCAAATAATGCCCTATCTCTTAATCGAGACCATAAGGTTTGTATCGTAACTTGTTCTTCTGAAACCATGGGTAATATGACATTATAATTTAGTTAACAAATTAATGCAAATTTCTGATAAGTTATTATAATAAGATCTTACTTTTGTGATACATATTATAGATCACTTCTCGAATGGCACTTGTATCCAATGTCGCTGTGTTGGTTACACGTTTAATAGAACTCCGCTTTTTCTTGGGCGATTCTAAATTTGCATCACTTTTCACACCCTCGGAAATACGACTAACTGTCCTTAAACTAATTTTTAAAGCAGCAGCAACACGCTACAAAAAATGAAATAAAATTTCACTATTATTAATATACATTACATATAATTATTAGTAACCTACCTCTTGAACAGCATTTAAAGGCAACAAAGGCCCGTTGTTGTCCATTTCTTGCTCAAAGTAGTGCATTAACGAGGCCACGAGTTCCTTACACCGACTATTTAACTGTTTGGGCATCTTTATATACCAAAATTGCCTTTATCTACTCGTAAAATGAATAATTTTGTTTTGAAACAAACAGTTGTTGATTTACAGTATGCGGGGCCAAAGGATTTATAAAGATTTGAAATGCCACAAATTGATTCAGTGTCAAAATTAATACAAATGTCAGTTCCCAGTTTAAATAAGTTTCAAGGTGACAATGTGTCAACGCTGCGAAATCGGTTTAGTGCGTTTGCATGTCGATAAGTGATTGGAGCGTTTGCAAAACATTTTATTTCGCATAATGCGTCTAAATTTATCAGAAAGCAACTTATGTGATATTTTAATAACAATGTTTATATGACTATTAACCATAATAAGAGAGTAATGACCATTTTACAATTTATATATCACATTAATATGAAACTGCAATAGAGCAATTGTTTGTGATAGAAACCTAGACATTAGGTCGGGGAATTTTTATCGTGATGACGTGCACGCCACTTTGTTTGGCGTTGACTAGATCACAGGCTCTACCAAAAGATATTGCTCGTTTCCAAACATTCATTCATTTACTTGCCGTTCATCAGAACCATTATGGCACCTTAGATTGATAATCCCACAAAACCATTCAGGTTTTTTGATATCCATACATCCATAAAGTTGAATATTTTTCGTTGTTCAGGAACTAAACAAACATCCACAGTATATTGACAGCGATTAAGAAATTCCCAAATATATGCCTTAAAGCTACCAGCAAACCTAGAACCTGCAAAAAAAAACTACAAATTTGAAATATTTTTCTTTTTACACGAGTACACATTCTAGGCTATATTTATATTAGACATTATTTGAGTACAGCTGTTTATTGCATTTCAAGGAGTGACACATGTGTGGGATCTGTCAATTCTTGGTACCAGTCACAAAACATATACTCTGAAGGTTTAATTCCATGCCATTCAATGACAACACGGTGACATGTGTGGTTCTCAGCGGCCATTTTGTGAGGGTGCGATAAGGTTGCCAGATTGTGCATTAATATCCCGTTTCACCCTCCTGGTCCCAGTGGAGTAAGTTCCGCCAACTGTTGAAATATACTCTACTATGCTTTATAAGACTATTCGTGACATTTCCCCAAAATCATTGCACAACACTTAAAAAAATGCAAACGAAAATTTAAAATTATTTCCATGACGCCGAAAAATAGCTGCGTCGGTACCTTGGGTTATACATCTTGACAACAGGGATGTTCGATACGATCCTATATTTAGAAGTATCAATACTTTTCACGAGTATCGTCACCTTTCGATCCGGACTGTGTCAGACTGGGTAGGTAGAGAAAGTGAGTGTATCTAAAATGGATAAAAAGTCAGAGAAACCTAATTTGGAAAATGGTGGTAATCAGAAACACGCAAAAGACAGCAAAAGGTATTAACATTTGGTCTTGTATAATCATTTTTTATGAAATCTAGTTATTTCCGAAAAACAACGAAACGCATTAGTGATACGAATCGGTAAGGCCAAAAAAAAGAAACGGGCTTGTGTCTACTGTAAGAAGTCGCCAGTCTGGATTTGTTTTATCTTTTTTTACAGGATAACAATTGAAGTTTTATGATCTCATTTTTTATGTTTTATATTCACACAATATGCTGTATCACAATTAGTTTCCTAATTTTTATATTGAACAAACAAGTCATAACACACTGCGGAAGACTAAAAGGTCGTACCACACATAATGATCAAATGCTAATACTTCTTAAGCCTCATACGAGGCTCGAGTGGCCTCTACTTGTGGATATTTTGTTCAAAACAGATGAAGCTAATCTCAAATGTGATAATAAAAAACATCTAACAGCTTTAAATGACACAGTAATCTTGAATCAATCGTTTTTTCTTCGTACTGTAAAACTCGCTTTTTGGGGATACACCGTATTAGAACAAAACCAACGATATATAAAAATGAATCCTTATTTCGCGTGGTCACGCCGTAACTTGAGAACGACTTTAGCGATTTCATCCATCCTTTTCTTTAAGTTTCCTGATGCTGTATAGAAGGTTCTTACGGCAAGAAAAATTAAGAAAATTGTGCAGAAAATTGGTAAATCATTGAAAACTTAATGATTATTTGAGCTACGCGCCTTAGACGGCTTGCTTGAGGATGAAGCACGCACAGCAGAAGAAATATCTCGAGTACCAAAAGAGACAGGCACTCCTCTCCGCCATCTTTATTCCAACAGCTATTGAGAACAAATTGCTTATGGAAACACGGTGCTTTCGTTTTTGGACTTACATGTCTTTAACATCCGTACTTTGTGATGACCCCTTCAAAAAAAATGCACTGTTGCCTATTTGTTATCGTTGTTAGTAAAAATGAAGATGCGTTTCTTCTGATTAATTGACTTTCACTACTCTATCATTTTGAACTTGACAGCTCGCTCGCCGCAAATTTATTCTATCGTTTAAAACAGTGTTTATCAATGAAAACATATTGTTCACTCAACCTAGCTAAGCAATGTACTATTATAGGCAGCTCAGTAATTCTGACAAATATGTTCATAGGTACAAACGATAGTATATTCTCAAACCTCCGCCATTGAGTTCCATACCGGGCGAATTACAAACTAAAATATTTGCTTTCTGTATCCGATCTTGGATCTGATCACATCTCAGTCACCGTCACAGTAGTTTCGACGGCGTTGTGTCTACGTCAAATACCGGGTATGCAATGCATAAGTTAAGGGTAAATTTTGTAATGTCGTTAAGAAGTTTTCGAACTGAGGGGTGCATATTGTTGCAGGCGAGCTGCTGTGTTTGGTTGATCCTGATAGGGAGTCTGGTGGAAGGAGGGAGAGAGCACTCGAGAACTAAGAGGTATCTGGTGTTTCCCAGGGGGGGAAGTTTCAAAGTAAGTGGCTGGCGATACATACTCTGTTTTCTAGAAGCCTTTAGTGATTTATTGTTAGATTTGACCTCTGCACAGGGTGTTCTGAAGATGGGACTTTCGGGAAACGAAATAAAAAGGCTGATGTGCGTTAAAAAAGCAGCGAAAACATAAAAAATGGAGTCAAGTGGATTGACGCTATACTTCCTACGCCTAATGTTAGTTCGAATCATTAGCACAATAGGGTATTCCTTAATGATATGCGAATATTTCAGGGTGTGAATCTACATCAAAAATTAATATTGGCTTGCTCTATAAACTATGGTCCAAAATTGTTTTCTTGCAAAAACTCGGGATGTTGAAGTTTTAGGAAAAAATAGAAATTAATATTTTCAAATATTTCACTGATATTTAGTACGTAGTGGAAGTTACTACGTACCCGTACGCACACCTCTGGTAAAGCTAAAAATTATTTTTGCACTGAAAAAATGCAGCTTCATTAACTTTCACTACGTACTAAATATCAGTGATATATCTGATTAATTAATTTCCATTTTTTCCCTAAAACTTCAACACCCCGAGTTTCTGTAAGGAAACATCTTTGGACTATAGTTTATAAAGCAAACCAACATTAATTTTTAATGTAAATTCACACCCTTAGATATTCGCATATTATTAAGAAACACCCTGTACATCGGACCTTTCCCGCTGCTACCGGTGTCAGAAGCTTGTTAATGATAGAATGTCTTTGATTAAGACTAAAGATGTTTCTTACATTTATAACCCCCTAACCCCTACATTCTCCAACCTTCAAGTTCAGCCCCTATATAACCCCCAGTAAGTCGATTTTCTAAAACTGGCCCATTAAGATCTTTTAAGAACTTCATTTGTCGGTTGTCTTCAGGTTTTGATATCTTGTATCAATAGAATCACTGCCTATGGCTTCATGAATTATACACAGTGCAAAGGAAAGTCATAACGTTAAGGACACCCTGTGTAGGAAGATCCAGTGTAGTTCAAAAAAGTACATATTGCGTTAACGTTAAGCGCCAATTTTGTAATGCCGTGAAGTTGGTTTCCTTACTGAGAAAGTACGCGTTGTTGAGAGATGTCACTGTGTTTTACCGGGCCTGCTAGAGATAATACTTAGTTTTAAATAAACACCCTGATATAGATAATTTTCTTTAGTTAATGCAATTTTCACCAATAAATGTTGTATAAATGTTCTAAAGTTGCCAGCGCTTTTGAATTTCTACTAAATTGTCACTTTATAGACTAAAACTGTCCGCTTAGCGTTTTCGAATACATTCCCATATAATTAGACTTCAAATAAGATTCTCGAAAGTCAGAAACTTGAATACCCTAAGCGACAAAGTAGGTAAAGTCACCGTCGCCTGTCATAGAAATATGAAATTCAAAAGCAGCGCATCTGAGGTTTCCTAAAGAAATGCAGACGCAGTTATTTCGGGTAATAAACTAGCGTATAAATGGAACTCTCTTCCTGTATTCCAATACTCTGCGGTTTATGTTCCGGAAATAAGATCGTATTTATAACTGCGACTTTAGAAAATGCCGAACAAAACGTAGGACTGAAAGCGGGAAGCATATTTCGAAATTCATCCGGATTATTTCTATCTCAGCTTACTCTATCTCACTAACTGACGAGCTAGTATTGTAGTCGCGAAAAATTTCGATAAAGAGATATTTTGTTTTTTGGATCTTATATGACATGTCCATCTTGAAGGGTTATACAGGGTGCGGCAGAGAGGATGGACGGTTTTAAAAAATCATAAAATAGTTAATTTTTACTCGAATACAAATTTATTGATGGAATCAGGTTCACAAGGAAATAGAAAAAATCACATCAGGCATGTGGGGGCCGAAATCGTTGATGCAGTGCTGGAGGCGTTCTTGGAAGTTCGCGTAGACTCTCTCAACTTGGGCTACTTCCACGAGAATTTCGCCCTTCAATTCGTCCAGAGTTCGGGGCTTGTTCGCGTATACTCTAGCCTTGAGGTGTCCCCATAAGAAAAAATCGCATATGGATAAATCTGGGGACCGAGGAGTAAATCACTTAATGGAATTACATCTTCTGGAATAAATCGTTGACTATTTCAGTTATGTTTTCCACTAAATCAGTATGGCGAAAACAATTACGAATCGTTTCTGGAGTAACCAATTCCCATGCAAACTTATAGCATCTAAAATGGTGACAGTTTTGGTAATGTTGACATCTTCTTGACGCTCCATGATTTTCATCAACATACATATGTTTCCGATACATTTTGTTTAAGTCTCCAAATGACAGCCTGGTCAATTTGTTGTAGAACTGATGTCACAATGGGTGGAAAAAACTGAAGGTTGATGTTATTAAGTGAAATATTTGGATGAGCGGGGCAGTTATCGACCAACAGCAAGATGTTACGATTTTTCTCAACAAGTTCAGCGTACCACTTTTTTAAAATATTCTCCAAAAATTGATGAAGTTATCCAAGCTTTATTATTTCCAACATAATCGACGGGAATTGTTTTAAAATTTTTGAAACATTCTTAAATTTACCTAAAATAAAAAAAGATCATAAATCCTTGAATTACAAAAAAGTTAGAACATGCATTTCTATTCATTCACTTGCCTGTTATCAATAGTTTCCATTTTTCGGTACCAGAAGCATTAGCACAACTCATGTCAATTAGGCAAACGATGCACCAAACACCCTGTATAACATCCAAAAGACGATATTCTATTCTCGAAATTTTTCCCGAAACCATGTTAGTGTGTGTCGTAATACGCTGTAGCTCAAAAAACGTTGATATTACGAAACATAATTCAATGGAGACCTTTAATAAGATTAGGATCGCAAAATGCTTAGCAAAATTCCAGCCAATTTGACCAGGACCCATTTACCATTTGAATTTATAATAAGCAGAAGCCTGGTGGGTCCGCCTTGATCGCCTAGAACACGAAACAACTTGTTCAATATGTTCAATATCTCACTGGAGCAAAATCTGTTTGTAAATCGGTAAAACAAGGCAAGACCGCCCACCGCTCATTGAAGAGACTCAAGACGATCTTATAATACAGGGTGTTCGAAGAATAGACGAAGATATTTTGAAGGGTCATTTCTTGTTAAAAAATACGAAAAAAAAGTTTCTACTAATATGGTTCCGGAAGTGCGTGAGAGTTTTTAAGATACAGGGTGATAAATTCCACATATAAAATTACGTGAATATCTCTAACCTGTATGCAGGAATGTGTTTTGTGCAAAAATGAAAAGCAATAAAACTGTTTTAATTTTTTTTCTTGAAAACAAAGTAGGTAGGAAAAAAATCCACGAAGCAACAAGGTTGTATTTTTAGATGCTTAATCAAACTCAAATTATTAAATTTGCAAAAAATGCAGGAGCGTATATTCTTTTGTCAATAATATTCGCTGAGGTGTCCCCCGGGATGCCACTGGACCTAATAACTCTAATCTATCTTGGGCTAAATTAGAATCTTAGTACAACAAATAATATTGTCAAATTTTAACAGAACCGGCTATATATTTTTTAATATAATAATAAAAAATGTATCACCCTGTATATTGAAAACTCGGCATTTCCGGACCCATGTTTATAGTAACTTCATTTCATATTTTTGAACAAGGAGTCACCCTCTGAAATACCTCCATCTATTTTTCGAACACCCTGTATGATTATTCTAGTGTTCAGTCTCACCTCATACTAATGCACTATAAAACGCTCTACATCCCGTTTCAAATTAAAATTTGCATACACGATACTCGAACCGAACTAAAAGTCTTTCTCCACCAGGAATATCCGGCGTTATGGTTGGATTAGCGATCGTAAAACAGAAGTTATTAGGAATTCAAAGTTGAAGTTGGAGAGCTGCAGCCAGGAAATCGCTTTTTACAGGTCGACTGGGGGCACTAAATCCCGCGGTATAACATTATTTTTGCTTGTGTCGGTTATGATACAACTATCAGATTGGATCTTGTACGAGATGGAAAAATGTACAATCTGAGAAAACTGTCTATGTGCTTTGGACTTCATAAACTGGGTGGCAAAATCTATGTCAGCGTTCTTGGATACTCTCGCAGCTTATATGCGTGGACAAAAAGTACTTTAAAAACCTTGTTTAAGCCTTCTCTTCAGGAGACGATATGTGTACGGGTTGAATCAATGAATCGTGAAATTAGAGGTATTCCGGCCACCATAAGGAGCCAGTGCATAAGCCGCTTAAACGGGCGCTTATGCACATCTACATTCCTTACATCACAAGTCTCGCCCTTTTAGCGAAGTTGATAATCGCCTTGAGTCCAAGCTTCTGGAAGTCCTGAGGGTCTGAAGTAATGGACTCCACTATAGTAGCTCAGAGCTTCACCGCGACACAAAACGTGCACCGAGGTCTCTACCCCGCAGCGCTCACACAAGGGATCCTCAGCCACCCCCATCAAGTGCAGGTGGCGCCTTAACGTGTTATGGCCAGACAACAGTCCCATCAGCAACCTTAGGTTGGCTCTATCCAGAGATAAGCAGAAACGTCCATCCTCAGCACTGGGCCCTTCAATGAGTTACCGTGCCTGGCGGAGATGTCTCTAGATACTTACTCCTTTTATGGAGTGTTGTCTTGCAATCCACGTCTCCGTTTTCCTCCTGGCTCTATGCGCGGTCACTCCTGAAATTGACTCAGGACCAACGAGCTTGCTGGCTGAGCTGCCAGTAAATGCGTCTGTTTCGTTTTCGATGCGTCACCCTGTATATATATATATATATAGGTGAAAAATTAAAGCTTCCGCCTTTTGTTGGGTACTTCGACAAAATTTAAGCAAAGAGGACTCTTTATACCGTCATTTGGGGTGAAACTGATCAAAATTTAGTTGCTTTTTCATATTTTTGTGGGGTTATTAGGAGAAATCTTCCAAACGAGGTGTAAATATATAGAAGTAGTTGATAGGAATCGAACAGTAAAGTATCACGAACTTCAAATTTAAAATATAAAAAATATACGGAAATAAAGTTGTGAACAATCTCATCCACGTTTTGGGGTGAGATTGTTCACACACACTATAATCTACAGGCAGTTAGCAGACAAGGCCATCGATGATCAATCTCACCGCCAATGTTCTATCTCAAGTATTTTTGAAGTTACAGCTCTTTATAGTCTTGGGGGTGAAATTGTTCAGGTAGGGTGAGATTGATCATGGGATTTGTTCATCATAAATTGCCTTGTTTCCTCAAATTAAGACCAGTTAATCATTGTTGTTAAACCTTTATTAATTTTGAAGTGAAAATACATGACTTTAAACAAATAAAAAACAAACCGTTTCTCCTAAATTTTAAATGAAAACGGAACTTGAAAACAAAATTCATAAGCTACTTCATTTCAAAAACGTCGACAACTTCTTCGAAGAAGTACTTGTCGATACCATCACCTTGTTTTAAGGACGGATTTGGTAGAATTGCTAAGACATCAGACATATCTGATACAAATTCGTCACCGTCTTGAACCGCAAAAATCTTCTTGGATTTGTCTACAGACTTCATTCCCAATCAGTCAATTTCCTTTTTTCCTTCTTCGTCTACTCTCACCTGCTGTATAATAGCTATGTACCGATAGATTGTTTTTTTCCTTGATCCACCGTAAACCTTAACCAGCACAAATTTTCCAGCCACAAGTCCATTCTCTGCTGGTTGGAAATATTGTGTCTCTGGTTCTACATCGTCATTTGTATCTTAAAGGGGATCTTCGTCAGAGTTGTCATTGGTCAGTGGCTGATCTATATCCGAATCGCTAGAATCTTCCTCAGTACTTGCTGTTACGCTTTTGCCAGGTTCTACAGACAGTTTTTTTCTTTTTATATTCCTTCTTGATGGAACTGCTGTAAAACGCTGTTGTTGCAAGTAATTCACAAAAACGTTATTCACAGTGCCATCAGTATCATTGCCGATATCTTCACTTGGGATCTTCCGCAAGACTCGCTCAGGATCAAACGGCTCAGCTCCTGTCGCTTGGAATGAAGCTATCAAATCTTTTTTAATAGCGTTTTCTGATTTTTCATCCATTTCTTTAAGAGCAGCAGCCAGTAAATGGGGAAAATCTTTTTTATCTATAGAAGTCTGTTGTGAAAGCGTCTTCTTCCAGTTCAATAACATTGCTCTCCATGCAATTTTGAATGGACGGAAAAATCCAACATCAAGGGGCTGAGTAAGATGAGTTGAATTCTTTGGAAGACAAACAAAGGCAATGTCATTTTCTTGGCATAGTTTCAAGACAGTATCCGTGGAATGAGACGAGAGATTGTCACCCAATAGCACTTTGCGACCCGGTAAGCGTTTTGCATGTGGTAAGAATGTCATCTCAAACCAGTCTGTGAATGTCTGGGCGTCGATCCACCCATGGTGGGTTCGATTGTAACGCGAACCTTGAACACAACATCTTTCAGCACAACAAGGCTCACCTTTTGGACCCAACTCAGTCCATTGCTGCCACATTTTTTCTGCCTTGTAGATGATGTAAGGAGGCAATAGTACACCAGTGGCCGAACCACACATCATAATTGATATTGCTGTCTTTGTAAAGTTACATATACGTTCTGGATACTTGGTTCCACGTCGAAATAGCATTTTTTGCTTTCCAGGGTCGTCTTGCACATTTGTCTCGTCGTAATTAAACACATTACAGGCTGGGACATTTTTCAGCGTTTCTCTCATATTATCAAAATATTCCACGACGATATCTCGTGAAATATTTGCACGGGACCTTTTAATATTCGCTGACACTTTTTGACTGATCTCTCCTTTGTGTCTTTCTAGAAGAGAACGAACCCAGTCAATCCCAGGCAGATTTGATTTGAACTTGCTAATATTGCGACCTTGGCTATCTAAGTAATTTTTTGCTAAGTATCGTAAGTCAGTTATTGTAAGAGGAAATCCCCACTCTCCACAGCAGTTTGCTGCCTTTATAAATGCTTTTTCTTCGTTAAATGTAAATACTGTTTGACCTCCACTTTTCTTAACATGGCTGCCAACGTATTTATAGCGAAGTGTGCCAAATGGGATTCTATATTCAGCTGCAGCTCGACGAATAGACCAATCTTCTTCAGCAATCTTTTGAAGTGCTAATTCGACCTTGACATCGGGATAATCCTTGTAGGAACGTGCTCCTAGCCTTCGTTGGTACTTTCTTGGCATGGCTGAAACATGCAACGGAATATTAGATGAATCAAGCAGAATTAGGTTACATTCAAATATATTTATTACGTGGGTTGAGATTGATCAGTTGACAAATCTCGCCCCATATACGTGATCAATCTGACCCCACCTAACAAAACGACAGATAAAATCAAAATGGTTGAGCCGATAGTTAACACCAAAACACACGAAGGACTCAAGGCATAGACATACATATATATTTGGTCGAAAATATAAAAACCTACTTAAATTTTGACTTACCTGACAAAGTTCTGGATGATCACTTTTACAGAAAAATACTAACTCCTAACAACTTGCAGTTTTTCATCAAATACGGAGCCGTTGTAGTTCACGTGTGCATATCGCAATCGGCCATCTTTCTACTGTCACTAGCAGTCGATAAGGGTGCGTTCGTATATTTGATTTTGGCACTAAATTCAAATACATAAATTGATGATTTGGTGAACAATGTCACCCCGGATGATCAATTTCACCCCAAATGACGGTACCTTTTTTAATTCTCTCTAGCTTTCAATGGACTTTGCCATCATCATCAGGAGCTGCAATTACAATGATAACAGTAGCAACAAAAGTGTAAAATGAATTTAGATTGACTCAACTTACAGTAGTATGTGAGGATGTTGCTAATTGTTGTTTACGTATAGGATGAGGGAAACGTCCAGTAACATGGTGAGAGCTGGATAGATTGTACAATGGTCAAAACTATATAAAATATGACAAGAACAAGTTAAAAACAGATTAAAAATTATTTAAAAAACATTACAGCATTACATCGTGAAGCCACTTGATGATTGCACAAATTAGTGGTCATGGAATAATGAGTGAGATGAAACCCTTTGACAGAAGGTCGAAGTACCCAACAAAAGGCGGAAGTTATATATATATATAGCATAAACAATATACGATAGAAATATACCTTAACTTGGCCGACTCAAAAAATATGTAAAGTGGAACCTTTTTGTTTGAAAGGCACTGCATATTTCGAAAGGCCCCACCAATATTTACTTTTCAGATTGTGATAGGAATCGGCATTCCAGTGAAGCTCGGTACGATGCAGTCTATGGCCATAGGATGGAATTTTCAGGCACAATATATGTTGCCACAAAATATCACTCAGCTGCAGAGCTATCCACCAGTTGTTGGGAGGAGAAAGAGAGATGGAGAAAAGAATGATAGAGAATTATTCTATACAGCGTTAGAGAAGATACTGGACAGGTATGTGATTTCCACATTGATCTGCGGTTTGAGGAAAGAAGAGGAATGTAGCATTAGGGCCCGTATCGTCAGTCGTCCCTACAATTGTAGGGCGCCTTTATGACCTCCTTGATTGTCATAGTTTTCTACTTCTCCGTGTCAGAACTCTATTTGCATCAAATTGTGCTTGCTTTTGAGTTATATCATGTTTTATCAGCCTGAAATTTCCTACAATTTAAAAAGAAAACATATCTTCACAATAGGAGAGCGCTGACGCTGACACGGGACAAGTGTAATCTAGAAATTTTTGAAGGAGAGAAAGGAGTATGACTATCAAGGAGGCCATAAACGCGCCCTACAATTGTAGGGACGACTGACGATACGGGCCTAGAAAAAACTTCTATAAGGTAACGATATGTTTATCCTGTACTTTTCATTTTTACAAGATTGCACGAAAGGCATGTTGAGAAAACCGTTATGCACTGACCGGAGTCGCCTAGCGTTCTTTGCGGTCTTGAACAAGGATGACGTGTCTGATACACCCAAAACAACACAGAAACAGAAACCAATTCACTGTGTTTTGGAAGATATATTGTCACTGTTACTTCTTTTATCTGTAATTTGAAAAAAAACACCGAGCTGGTCAACAAGCACGTTAATAAAAACTCAAGCATACGAGTACATATATGCGGTTTCATTTAGCGGCTACGAAACATGGAGAGTCAAACTGCTATAGGAATCAGTATAATAATAATAATATTCACTCAATGTACAAAGATAACAAACAATATGAGTAAATAAATATAAAATCAAAACAAGCCCAATAGAAGGCATCGCCTGTACATGGACCAATAATTTAAGTTGAAACTGTAGAATGCAAGTGACAAAAAAGGACAAAAATTAGCTACAGTAGATTATGTATTTAGTTGATGTTCGTATTTATGAGTTTAAGAATTTCAGTCCTAGATATAGAATGTAGCCACTTTTTTAAATTTCTTTTGGAACAATTTCCGAAACGTAAATCTTTTAAGTCTTTAGGTATAATTTCGTAAAATTTAGGCGCTAAATAGAGATATGATCGCTGCATTATAGATTTATGCGGTTGAGGAACTACTGTGCCACGAATTTTGTACCTGGTATAATGATTATGTTTAATTTTTTGGTCGGTGTTTACAAATTTATGGTAGGGAGTGATACTGTGTAAGAAATAAAGCTGTCTTATATCATACATTCGAACATCTGCGTATAATTTTTCAGTGGGATAAAGTTTCGGTTTTTTAAATATCATTTTTAGAATACTTTTTTGAAAAACATCTAAATTATAGATATGTGAGGAACATGCAGCTCCCCATGCTAATATACCATATGTGAGATGAGGCTCAATCAGTGCCTGGTATATTGTTCGAAGATATTTTTCTGTCAATATATTCCCAAGGTATTTAATTTTGTAGGATACAAATCTAACTTTCTTTAAAATATAATTGACATGGATGTCCCATCGTAAGTGAGGATCCAAGACCACTCCAAGGTATTTTATGTTGGGCACTCTACTAATTTGCATTTTTTGATCTTTAATGTTGAAGGAGAAATTTAATTTTATGCTTAAACATACGCATCTAAAGAACAACGTATGGATTGTGGAGAAACAGCATCCACAAGTATGCAAGATTTGAGTTGAGACTGATGAAAATTAGGAAATAGAAGACATCGTTGACTAAATTTTGGGAAAAACAAATACCTTGTTTGCCTTAAGTTTAAAAGTTTTACTACAAAGAATTTTCATTTTCGTGCCACATAAAACTGAGCGGAGAAGAGTCATCTGGGAGACTGGTTTCGAATATAGTGTTAAAAAAATGTCAAAATGCTGTATTCATAGTAGTGGTAGTAGTAGTAGTAGTAGTAGATATTTATTCATTCCATTATTGGCGACTGACCCACTTTCCCGAAATTTAGCTACAAGTTCTAGAACATATTTTCGATGCACGTTACTGTTCTCTTGTCGCTCATTAAATATTTTTGCTGTTCTATTAGCGCACTGATTATTACTGAAAAATATTTCGATAATTTCAACTCTTTCATCTGTGGAATATACCATGGTTAATTTATGTAATAAAGCGTTACAAGTTATTTTAGCAACAAAGTTTGGTCAAATCAATCGCAAACTATGTACTACATTCCTATTTAAAATAAGTACGAGATATTTCCTTATCTTTCTTCAAGAAATAACTTTTTTGCCACAAAAAAGTGCTCCAGCTATTTTCAACAACAAAATGATAAACAAACCATAGCCGTAGTGAAGAAAATCATTTACTTATTGAGTAAATTCTTTTAGTAAAATTTCTTCTGAAAGTAGTACAAACTAATCTGATGTACCTGTTTAAGTCTACTTATGCTTTAAATCAATAAATCTATAAAGCTACTGAACTGAAGCTCATTTATTTTATATCATTATAAAGGGAATTGAAAGGCCTTTAAAATAAGGTATCACTCGACCCCCCTGAGCTTCCAGTAAATGCATGTGTTTCGTTTTCGATGCGCCACCCTGTATAGGAACAATGACAACAAAGAACGGGTAAGTAAATGTTTCAGTCCACAGAAGGGAAATACCTGCACACGAATCAGCTGTATGTTGGCATGTGTTCCAAAATCAAAACTAAAAATCTAAAAGAAACTTAAAAAAAAGCCAAGGAGGTGTACGTATATATGTAGAGAATGATAATTTTCAAGGAATATTTGCCATGAATTCAATTAATGTTGTCTTCCTATTGCACGTATCCATTTTGATAATTTGTTTTTAAAAGAAGTATTTCGAAATTTTTTTAAGCCTTTGGGTACGTATAATTTTGGAACCATATAGACAAGAGATCGCCTTATTATGGTCTTATGAGGTTTAGGGACAGTTTTTGCTCGTAATTTATATCGAGTATTTTGAATTCATCAAGGAAATGTATCATCTTACTCAAAACATTCATCAAGCACATTGGTTTTTGTCTAGAGGGTAGGTACAGTTGTAGATCTTTGAGAATCTTAATGTAACAATGGAAAACAAAACTGAGAATGTTGACTTACAAATTTTATTGTTTTCTTTAACCTCTGTGAATGTTTACGTAACTATACCTCTACCATAAATTTGACTAATGAAAATAGTTATATTAATATCGGAACCATAAGTGATAGAGGACCTAGGGCCTATTGAAAATTATGAAACATAACATAGTCACCGGTTGAATCTCTCTAAGCGCAACGTTATTATCTTTTCTCCTAAAAATCCAAGGTCTTTCATTGAAAATAATAACTTTAAATGGTCATACTGCCCAGACAGACGCGTCAGTTCAAAACTTAGGTTTGTTTATAGATGAAAATCTCAAATACATTTCTCATGTGAATAATGTAACTAAAATTGTTTTACGGCACCTTTTTTATACCGCAGGACACCGAAAAACTTTGTTAATCTGATTTATGAATTGCCTGACTGAGACTGTCCATTAGATGAGAGTCGTCTATCGATCGAACAACCCTGCACCGAGTTTGGGTCGTGTAGTCGGGGCGGCAGAGCCCCAAACATGTGAGCAGTATTCCTATCTGGACCTTGTACAAAGTGAGAAGCTTATGTGGAGAAAAGTAGTGTTTATCACAAAACAAATACCCAGCTTTTTCGCAGCAGCTGGCGCTATTGATGAGATCTATTCTTGCCAGATTAAATCCTCGGAGATCTGCAATCCCAATAGCCAAAATTAACGGTTCTTTAATAGAACTCGGCCATCCATCGGACCTGTTTTTGTTATTCAAGGCACAGTACTGTATTTTATAAGCATTATGTAGCCAGGATTTTCTTCTTTATATTATGCTTCCAAGGTATGAAGCTATTTCAACTCACAGTTATTTCAACTCGTAGCCAAGTATGCTGAGGCGCATTGCTGGACCATCAAGTCCGGTCCTGTGATCGGTTTTACTGCTCTACGAGCCCGTTTTACTAAAATTAAACCGTTCGGCTTACCGCATTTTAGCGAATAGTAACGACTTCACATGTACGAGTAAAAGAAGCACTTTGCGGAAATTTCAATTTCACCTTACTCAACAGCAATAGAATCTATGATGTGAACATTTGGACACTTCTCTTATTTCCCATTTCGTCTATTTTATTAACCGCTTCAGCGGGAGGTACTATTGCTATCACTGCCATTTTATGGTGATACTAATATTCTCGCACCTAGACAATTTCCACAAAGGCTTTGCTCCCAGCATCGGTATGCAGGTCAGCATAAATGAACGCAATAGAGTAAGAACATAGAGGTTGAATGTATGTATGGTCAAAAAAAAATTGCGTCAAGTAGGTTGACTCTACACTCCCAACACAGCGCATCATCAGTTCAGCGTAACTAAGAGATTCTGAGATAAAAATCAGCCAAAAGCATCTGTAACAACAGAAGATAAACGAATCAAGTCAGTCAATCAGGCCCATACAATTAGTCCATAGACATTATTTACCTGCCTTACCGGTAGTACCGTCCACGTGGCAACATCGATTTTCCCCCATACCTGATACTGTAACGCTTCAGGCTCAGCAGCGCGGCAGTACAGGCAGACACTCGTTGACATCGTGAGACCAGCCGGTAAACCCAGAGTAGCAGAGACGCGTATTGGAAAAATATTGTATCGTTATAAGTTTTAAGGGCAACTTACCGAGGTTTGGAGCGTAAGCAAATTTTTTACATCAAAATGCATACAATCAGGTGTACCACAAGGCTCAGTGCTGGAACCATTGATGTGTTGACTTTACACTGCAGATTTACGTGAAAGCTTCAAGTTTTTTGCTGATGATATGCAGTCGAAGTGACAATATCAACAAGTCCATGTCGCTAGTAAATGTAGATCTAGTGGTACTGTAGCTCTATTTTACCACGAAATGTTCTGCCATACTATTTGTCTGTAAAAAATTTTGTGAAAATGTTAAGCCATTAGTTCACATCAAAGTTAATGGGGCGAAAGTTATGTTTCCTAAAAAAATTTATGCATATGCT